GATATTGAAATTGAGGAAGACGATGGAGAAATGAACCATGCCGAGGAAGAAGACAATAACTATGACAGTGACGCCTCAATTTTTTGAATATTTTCCTTTTGTTGTGTTCAATTTGTTACTTTTTTGTTGATTTTCATAATAAAACTTTTTTTTTCAAAATTTTCGTAGTTTGAAAAATAGAATTGCAGCCTCTATTTGAATTGCCCCTCTAATAGAGTTGCACCCCTTGAGGTGACTTGAACAATAGACTTGCATGCAATATCAATACAGATTTTACGGTAACTAACTTCGCGAAATTCATTAGTACATGTATCAAATTTTCCCTGCTTCAGACTCCCCTCATCATTTCTTCAAAAACTATCGCGATAGTACGCTGAAGTAAACTAGGTAAACCCCAAAAAATCTCCATCCAACTAAAGATCAAAAGAACCAAAAACGCACTAAAAAGTGCACCGAAATCCAATCCAAAACACGTCTTCTCAATTTCCTACGTCTGCAAAAAAAAAAGAGAAGGACCCATCTCATGAAAATTCATTTATTCATCATTTCGTTTCGTCTCGACGCCATCTTAAACATTTTTCAACGTCTTCTTCTTCTCAGAGATTTTCTTTGAAAGAAAATCTGGGACTGGGACACAGTAGAAAAAAAAGTCCAAATCGTGTCTCAATCTTTACTTCATAAATTATAAATTAGCTGTTTCTTCTTCTCATCTCACTACTTTTCTTTTTCTTCTTTATTCTTCAACTAGTTGAGGCACTTATTCATATTTTTCTCATATATTTACTGTTATATTTGGATATAATTATAGCGATCGGAAAACCAATAATCAAAAATCTATTCTCGGAAATTTTTAAATGAAAAAAGAAGGATTCACATGTCTAAATTTGAAAAACCTTCTCTATAAAAAAATGCCCTTCAGAAAAATCCCAATTATTTTCCCTCCAATAATGAATCTTCTCTTGTGAGATTTTCGTCATCTCATTTCCTCTTTCATCATAATAACAATTTGTATTTCTATTCAATGTCTCTTTGCTCACATTTCCTTCTTTTCTTTGCTCATAGGACACATTCTAGAATTCAATTATACTCCTGGAGAAATTTATTCGTTGTAGCTGGTTTCTGAATTTTTTTTTGCAGTTTCAGAAAGTTTGTTAGGATGCTGGAACCTAGAAGCAGCTGATTATTATTAGTGGGCACATTTTTGTGTATGAAAAAGTTCAAATTTCCGCTTCTGGCCAAATCGTTCTTAAATTCAGAGGTTTCAAGGCTTTAAAATTTTGAGACTCACTGTTTTAATTCGTTTCATCTGGTTCCAGAAAAAAGCAGTTTCTGAATCTTTATGACATTTTCTGAAAAGTGGGAACAACTGATTTTCTCCAATCACATCGTCTACTTTTTCGCATATGACGAAGTTCAAATTTCCAATTCTGCCATAATTGTTAGGTTGGGAAAAATCGAAACTTGAAAAAGTAGAAAAAATATTCGAGATCTTTAGAACTTGAGAATTGTAATTTTCTGAGAACTAATTAGTTTTCTGATACATTTGTTTTTAGTATGAAGAACGGATTCTGAAATGAGAAAATCCGAGAGGTTCTGAGAATATAAAGCTTTAAGATGATAAGGATTCTAGAAACTAGAAGCAGCTGATTATTTTTCAGTTTCATGTTCTATACTTTTTCGCATATAACAAAGTTCAAGATTGCCAACATCGTAAACTTTCGGTCACTTATGTTTGTCGAATAAGGAAAAATTCTGAAAACTCGGAGCGATTCTGAAAATCAGATGTTCGGAGGATATGAAGCTTTGAGGTTCTGAAATTCTGAGATCCTGAAGTTCTTTACTTTTGACTTTTTTCGATTTTCATTTTTTCAATATGTTCAACGTGGTTCCAAACAATTGCAGTTTCAGAATATTTGTAGTTTTCTGAAAACTATTATGCTTGTCTGAGAAAAAAAAAGGTTGAGACGCAGAGAAAAAGTGTCTGCGTCTCCACTTAATATGTGCTATTTAGGCTCTCCGCTTTGATGTCGCTACCGTATTCAGACTGCAAAAAAATACTCTCTAACCTTTTTTCTCAGACAAGCATAATAGAAGCAGATGTTTCTCTCTCTAGATGAGATGTATGACAAAGTTCAAACTTGTCAAAAAAAAATTGTGAATTTAGGAAAGATCCAAAGGAAAAAGTGGGAAACAAAGAAATTCAAAGTGATTCTGAAAATCCGAATGTCTGATAATATGAAGAGTTGAGGTTCTGAAATTCTGATGTTTTCATATTTCGAGGTTTCAATTTTTCGATATTTTGAGATTCTGAGGTTTTGAGATTTCTGAACATCTGAAATTCTGAGAATTCAATATTCTTAGATTCTGAGATTTAGAAATTTTAAAAATTTGAGATTCTCAGTCTGAGATTCCGAGATTCTTGACGGTCTGAGATTCCGAGATTCCGAGATTCTGTAATCTGAGTTTTTTCCATTCTCAGAGTTTTAATCGTTTTATCTGGTTCCAAAAAATTGCAGTTTCAGAAAGCTCATAAAGATTTCTGGGAACTAGAAGATGCTGATTATTTTAATCAACACGGAAAGTGAGAAAAAAGTTCGGTTTTAGAACTTTTCTTAAAAAACAGTGCTTTCGAAATCATTTGTTTTCGATAGTCTGATTTTTATTTGAAGCAGAAGTGAAAGTTCTGAAATATAAAGTAATTCTGGGAATCTAAGATGCTGACAATGAGAATATGAGGCTTCGAGGTTCCGGCATTCCGTTATTCTGAACCTCTGAGGTTGCACAATTTGAGTTTTAAAATACCGTAAAACTTGTATTAGAAGGCTGGCCCTTCTATTTTTCGTGGGGTCCCTAGGGGGGCACTTCAATTAGAGGGGCCCTTCAATTAGAGCGGTCACTTGTATTTTTTGTGGGTCTTTTTTGTGGGGCATCATTTTTTCAGTGAAAATTTCGTTTTTCTACTGCAAATCTATCACAATTTCTGCATTTAAAAAAAAAGCAAAAACACCAATTTTGCCGAGTTTTCAAAAAACTGGCACCTGAAAATTTTTTCGCCGTTCGTGTTGATTCACAAGGCCTCGTCCTTGAATCCACCGTTTCATCAAACGAAATTAATTTTTTTGAATTCAGTGAGATGTTCTAAATAAAATTGAGAGTTCTTGATAACATTTTGATTGCTAGAACTTCTATAGTTTTTCAAATCGAAAACTTCACTTCAATTAGAGGGGCCCTTCAATTTCAGGGGCCCTTCTAATACAGATTTTACGGTATACTATTTGAACTTCTCCTGAAAGTATTACAGATTTTCAACTTTTTCTTGAAAACGTAAAATCCAAAACTTTCCATGTCCTCCAAAAACTTGCTGGACATCCACAACAAATCTCTCTGATTCCATTACCACTTCAGCGACTGACCACTCCGGAAAAACTCAATCATCCGAAGATACATTATAGAATTTGTAAAATTCTTCTTCTTTTTTCCGAACACTTGTATACGTATCTTGTCTCCACTGAATCTCGTCGTTTTCAGATGTCAACAACTTCCCAATTTGCCAACTTTTCTGCCATTCTCTCATCCTCTCACTCTTTTTCAACTATTCCTTCCCTTATTCCTTTTTCTTGTGTAGTTTTTTTTCAACAAGTAGTTTTTTTCCTTTTTCAGTTGCCTCCCTGTCGTCTATTAATTTCCGCGTTTTGTGTTGTTGATACGAGGAGTTGTCTCCTCCTCTTTTTTCTCTCCCTACTTTTTTTCTTTTACTCTCCGCCCAGTTTTTCCTCTTTTCGAGACACAAAACAGCCTGAATTTATCCAGGGCTATGTGTGTTTCTTACTCAAACTTTTCCTGCTCTTTTTCAGTTGAAGAAGGCTTCTATTACTCACTACTCTTTTTTTTAGTTTTAGTACCTTTATTGAGGATTTGAAGGATTTTCGGACTTCCTTGTCAGAAAATCCATAGCCCCAGTCAAAGTTACCTACTGAAACCATCGTTTTGAATATTTCTTTAAAATATTTTCAGTCAAGCATTAATCGTTTTACAATTAAAAAATAACCACCCATGAAAACTCGGATTTGAAACTGCAAAGAAGATTTTCTAAAAATGTAGTGAACCTGGCAAAAATATCATTTTTAGGTTTTTTTCAGTGGAAGATTGTATGTTTTTAAAAGGTACAAAAGTATTCCAAATAGTTTCCATTGCTCTGAAAAGCTCAAATTATACTTTTAAAAGTTAGAACTTCAGCTTTTTATTGATGAATTTTTATCGAAATTTCATTCTGATGAGATAGTTGTTTGTTACCCAAAGTAAAATAAGAGTTGTGCCACTTTCAAACTGGTTATCTCACTTTGTTGGATTTGTGCAGAAAAGTTGTCAATTGAAAAATTGAAGCTCTAATTTCGTTTAGTATACTCTAAAAATTTCTGGACTTCTTTTTTAGGACTTCAAAATTGACATCTTCCACTAAAAAGTCAAAATGTGATATACCGTTAATAATCTAATAGAAGGACTCTCCTAACATTCAACTTTGTGCATATTTATCTCGGTTCCTGTGAAAGATATCAAAAAGTGGTTACCTGACAAATTGTTCATTATAAAACTAGCAACATTTTCTTAGTTGACCACTTTTGATATCTTCAAACGGCAATGAGATACATAAGCTCAAAGTTGTCGGGCTTTCAGGGACATTCGATTAGATTGCTTACGGTAATGACTCTTCTTTCGATTACCAAATTCACCATTCTCCCCTAGATTTCAGATCTTTGAAACTGGAAAAGTGTAGTAAAATGTATTGTTTTCCCATCGTTTCCTGTTTGATTTCCGGCTCTCTTACTCTTTTTAATTACTTTCCGTTCCCAAAATTATCCCCAGTAAATTTTATTTTTTCTCCATTTTTCACCTGTTTCTTTTCTTCAGTTTGAAAACTTCACAACATATTCGAACAATACTTCTGTTTAATTTCAGATCCCCATAAAGAATCTAAACTTGAAAACGGTGAACAAAAAGAAATGTTCGCGATTGCTCACAACTCGATCCTTCGGGATTCGTTGGCTGGTATTCTTCAGTTGAGTCCTGAAAGAGTTTTCGAGGAGTACAGACCACCACCGTTCACAGGTAAGGATAAAGAAATAGAATAACTGCCCACAGAAAAAACAACGTTGAAAAAGATATTACTTCATAAGGACATCATGAAACAGCAAAATAATTCAATTCAGTAAACTTGTAAACGTGAAACGAAAAATGATTCCCAGGAAATCTTGTGATCGGAGTCGAGGATCTTCGTGATGCCAATCTTCGTTTTGCTGTCAGATATTTCTTGGCGAACGTCGAAAAGAATATCTCTTTGTACATTGTAAAACAGGAATGGAGTGAGAACGATGAGAAGTTTTTCGATGATCTTGTGAAGACAGAGTATCGTCGGGCTCACGACCTCAACCAGGTGGCTATTGATCGTGTCAAGTGAGTTAGAATATCCTGGATAGTGCAGGAATATGAATATGCAGATAAAGATAACCATTACATTTAATTAGTCAATTTTGAATTCGAGAATTTAAAGTATTTACTGTACATTGGTGTTAACACTCAAACACAAGGATGGCCTGGATTTCAACGTTAAACCAATTCATCTTAGTTCCTGTGAAAGGTATCAAAAAGGGTTAACTGATAAAATATTTTTGAAAGTATGATAAACATTTCGTTAGCTGTCCACTTTTTGATGTCTTTCTCAGAAAATGAGATATACGAGCTCAAAATAGACGGTTTGGAATCCTATTCTTGTGTTTACGGTATATTTTGTCCAGTATTTGGAATAAAACACAAGATTTTTTATGAAATACATCAGACGATTACCAAATTCACTATTTTCTCCAGTCATTAAACGATTGAAACCGGAAAAATTCAATGAAATTGTGCCACACGATACCTGAACTTTGAGCTCGATTATCTCAATTTCATATCAAAAAATGGTCAACTGACAAATTTTTTATTAAAAATTCAAAAATACTTTATCAGTTAATCACCTTTTGATATCTCTTACAGGAATTGTGATAATTTAGCGGAAAGTGAATGGCGTTCGACTAGAAAGTTTACGGTAATGGATGACAATCCAATTTTCTAATATTCTAAAATTTGAGTTAAACGTTTCATAATGACAAGTCAAAACAGTAAAATTTTTGTTTTAGCAAACTCCCAGACAACGACTGGAAAAATGACAGACTGGAGCAATTGAACGAGTGGAGGACTATTCCAGCAATCAATTACAGTCTTCTCACACTCAATGACAATTTGAAGGTGGGCTCTATGCAAAAATATACATTATCGATCAATAAGATATACAAAAACGTATTTTTCAATCGATTTTCGGCTATTTCGACCATTTTCAGAAGTCTGGAGATCGGATGTCAATTTTCCGATCACTTTTTTTTTTTTATTTTAGAGGGGTAAAACAGACCTAGACTGAAAATTTTGCATTCACAGAATCATTCGAATTCCTCATGAAATTCTGTAAAGGCAACGTTTTCAATCTAGGTCTGTTTAACACCCTCCAAAACTTCCAGTGTTTTATTGTATGAAACAAAAAACACTGAGAAAGTGTGCTAGAATACATTCCATGAAAATACCAGAAAATGGTCCAAATTTATTAACCGTCACTAAACGTGATTTCCAGAACCAAATCAACAGTCTCGCCAAAGTGACAACCTGTGCCATCTCAGACGATGAAGAACAATTGACGAGCAAACCACCAGTTCTCCACTGGACCGCCGACCCTTTAGAAGGCGAAATTCAGTTCATTGCTCAGTTGAACTTCCCACTTTCTGGACCAGACGATTCGGCGTTTCGTGAGATGTGTCGATTGTTAAAAACGCACTTCGAGATTAGCTACGAGTGGACGGGAGGCATTTTATTGACAAGTGAACCTGTTCGATTGCATGTTCAACGATTCAGTGATACACAAATTGAATTTGCTGCTAGGATTTGTGTCGATGAGTTGGAAGGTTTGTGGGGGATTTTCCTAGATTATTATGTCCGTTTATTATAGATGAATTCTTTGAAATCTTCTATGAATTCTATGAATTCTTTGAAATGACAGAAAACTTGAATTTTTCTAAAATTATTATCCGAGCCAGATAAAATTATGGAAAGATTGAAAAATTCAAAAAATCATTTCTATTTTCCAGGTGACGAAGCAGCCCGACCAATGCGATTCATTTGGCCATATCTCGCAGTTTCCCTGAAACAAGCTATTCAAGTGCTCTCCGAGCATCCACATCTACAGTACTCGGTAAGCATTCATGTTTTTAATATTCTGTTCAATCCTTGAATTAGTGATATTCTGAAACCCTCTAATTGTGAACCTTTTGAAACAGCAAAACAAGTATTGTGAATGCTCTATTCGAGTATTCTCACTTGTTGAGCCAAATTATCGATTCCGGTCAGAGATACATAAGCGTTGTTAACTGATAAAATATTTTTGTTATTATGAAAAACATTTCATCAGTTAACACATTCTCGATATTTTTTGTAAGAACCGACATAATTAAGCTCAAAACTGACCGTGTTGGGACCCCTTATATGCTTGAGGGTAATTGCATTTCGATCTTAAATTTCTCAATTCGTAGTTGATATCAAAAACTTGTAAACTCTCAAAATGTTAGTGATATTATGACAAACATTATACAAATTGAGAGATTTTTTATATCTTTTAAAGGGACCGAGATAATTGAACTCAAAATTGACGATTCAAATGCCCTCCAATTAGAAGCTTTACAATAAACGGAAATCTTGAAAATGATTTTCTTTTGTTCTATTGGTCTGAAAATAAACCCCCTTCCAGATCTCATTCGTTCCATTCGGCTCAATCTTTTTCAAATCTTCTGAAATCGAGGCTCGAGTCTTTGACGCCACCGTATTCTGTGCGACAGCTCTGAAATACGAAAAAGTCGGATTCCGAGTCGGAGACAACATTTATCATGTCGATATTGCTCATATCTTCCCAGATGGAACATATCCATCACTTCAACGTCTTCTATCAATGAATCCTCCGTCACCGAAATTCTCTCGTCCGGACTCTGTCAATGATTCAGTGTCGCCGTCGTTGGTCTCGGAGCCGCCGACTCCTGGAGGACTCGCAGCACCACATAATCGAGGAAGACGAGTTTCTTTTGGTGAGTTTTTATAGGTGGTGAACGGTGGCATTTTTTATTTTTTTGTTTTGTGCAGAAAATCATGTAGATTCTTATAAAAATAAAGATAAAATTTAAAAAAAAAGGTCCTTCGCTGACTATGAGAAAACCGCATCGAAAAAGCGAAGTTGTATCTGGTGGCCGAGTGTGAGTTTTCTAGGCCAACTACTTCTGAAAATCTGAGAAAAATGTGTTAATTTTCGAAAATTATCGAGTTTTGCGAATAACCCAAAAATCAAAACTTTCCAACTAATTAAAACAACTTCAGGAACGATAAAACTAATGTCCGACGCACCCGCAAATCCAGAAATCCCGATTCTCAATGGAAACGACGTCGATGGCTCCGTGAAGACCGTCGACGCCTTCATCGACAAAATGCTCCAACAGACGATGGATCAGTTGGCCGTCTAATGTTTAGACCTCTAACTGACACCGAAACATGATGCACATATTTATTTTTTTTTCTGTATGCAACTCTCTCAGACTTATATATTTTTCTTTTTTATTGTGAATGGAATTTCCGAATGTTTGAAAAAAGAATAAAACCGAAAATCGAAAAATAACAAAAAGTGAGTATTCATGATGAAAAAATCAACAAGAAAAAAAGAAAAAAAAAACAACGAAAAATCAGTTCATAAGGTATTGGTCAGGATGATGATGATGAAGCAGTCGCTGCTTTGGATGCCTTGATTTTCTTCATCTGAAAGTTCGAAATGTACAATTTTTGTATATTGAGATGTCGGCGGTCGGTCGGCGTTCGCCGATTTTCGACCGGTCGGAATGGAAGCCTTATTTCCGTTCGTTACCATATCATTAGCATTCTTCGTTGCCTGAAGGAGTGCTTTATATTGTGAAACATTCATTCTGACATCAATTGGCGGTGCCTTCACTGTTTCCTTCTTTTCCTCCTCTCCTTCGTCATTTCCAACGTCTTCCTTCTCTTCTTCCTCATTATTTCCTGCCATTTTCTCCGCTTCACTCAATTTCATCGAACAAACGTCTCCGTTTCCAGTGCCACGACACTCTGCCTGGAGCAGAAGGTTCTTCGGGAATCCGGAAATCATTTTACGTGCCTCGTTGTTGGCAACACCCCACAGGAGCGACATATTCATGACGTCAACTGGCGAACGGAGATCAAGCATTGTTTCGGCGCCCGAGCAGATGATGACGTTTTTCGATTTTAGGGAACGGATCAGGACACGACCGTTGAATAGAGCCTGAAATTAGAAGTTTATTTGGGAGCAAAATAAGCTGAAAATGGGAAAAAAATGATTTGAGAATTACCGATCATAGGTTGAAAATTTTGAATTTCTGGCGAATTTTCAACGGATTTTAAATGAAATTTCGACATTTTCTCAATCGGACAATCCAGCTTTCTTTAAATATGTTTTCAAAAAAAATCAAATAACGCAAATTTAGCATGGGCTCGACACAATATCGAGAAAGTTATGTATGCAGGACCGTTTTCACAAAGGCACTAGAGAAATTGTGTCTATTATGATAGTACAAAAAATTGGTGCTGTGGACGAGAAATGGCGGTAGCCGGGGCCAAAGATACCGCAACGACAACTAACGTAACCTAAAAATGTTTGTTTTCAGAATTTATTTTATCGTTTTCCACTGTTTCACTGTTATTTTTCCCAAAAAAAAAGTCAGCAAAATTTTTTACAGCGAAAAATTGATAAGAATCAGTAAAAATCGAGAAAACAAAGCTCTGAAAATTATATTTTTTAAGTTACGGTAGTTGTCGTTGTGGGACCTTCAGCCACCGCTACCGCCGCTTTTCTTCTACAGCTCCGATTTTTTTCAAACTCACATTTTTCCGTGTCGCCGGCATCAAACTCTCCGCATACGCAATCTCGTAGAACACTCCATCGTTTCGAATTCGATCCATCACTTTTGAACCAGACAACCATTTTCCCTGCAAAAACCCATATTTAAACGTACATTCTATAATAAAAAACCCTATTCTCTTCTAAATGATCGATAGTGATGATATCAAAAAGCTCAGTTTTCCGAGATAGCGTGTCGATTACAGATGGGTCTCCTGGACGCACGGCGACAATGTCGTAGGACTGAAAATCGATGAAAACTTCAAAAAATATATAAATTGTTGAAAATTACAAGAACAGTGGGATGAATGAAGACTTTGTTGATGACGACTTGCTCGTTGGCTGTGAAAGTGATTCGACTGAATTGGCGAAACACTTTTCCACGCTTTTCAAGATCCGAAAGGTCCAAATGAGAGACATCGACAAAATGGGGAGGTGGAATCAGCTTTTTCTTCTGCAAAAAAATTCAAAAAATTTAAAAACTCAACATCTCCGAAAAGCTCACTAAAATTCCAGCAATTCCATCAGCCATCTCGTCTTTCCGTTGATTTTTCTTCTTTTTCTTTTTCGGAGGTTCACCATCTGCACTCGACTTATTTCCAGGTGTCCACAGCATGTCAAGCTGTAAAATTTTTGTTTTTTTTCCGTTAAAAAATTTCGCAATTCGTTCAAACCTCGGTATAATAATCCGCAATATCTCCCAAATCAACGTTGATGGCCACAGTGTCATAACCCATTCGAATCGCCCGTTTCACCATTGCAAGTGTGCTGAAAAACGTAGGTTTTACTTTTAAAAACCCCGATTTAGCATCAAAAATTACTTTTCAGGATTAATATGTTTGATATTGAGGTCGGCATACTGAAACGTGGTCTCTGGAGTCATTGGTGTGAACTCCATGTGTCTGAAAATACAAATGTTTAGTTTGCGTAAATATGAACATATGATACTTACTTTTTTCGTGTTTTTTCTCTTCTGTTGCCATTTTTGGCAAAAATTCGTCTAAAAAAAGACCGAAATCGGTTGAAAAAGTTGACAACGACGCTCCGAAATAACGGGCACGCGCGCAGTTTAGCGTAAATTCACAACGAGTCAAATAGCGCGAACTCAAATTTAGTTTTGAAGATGGAATTTGGGATACTGATAATTGTCCAAGAACTGTAAGAAATCAGTAATTTCTAACAGCAAGCGCCTGTTAAAACTGGGAGAACAGACTATAAGAAATTTCAAAAAACAAAGCCGGAACTAATAATTGAGGCAATATTCTTGTTCGGTTCCGATTAATCTTGTGGCCGAAAATGTATTCAAAGGCGAATTGTCGGCACAGAAGCGGAAACAGCTATGGTTTCGACAAATAAAGACATGTGCCTTTAATACAGTACCTCTGATTTAATTTATTTGACCCATTTTCGGATGTTTTTCTACTTTATAAGACAATTCAGCCGATTATTCATGAAAATTGGAAGTAAATAACCGAATACAAACGAAAACCTGAGAAAAATAGGCAAAATGAAATTATTCCGAAGTACTGTATCAAAGGCGCATGAATTTATTAGTGAAAACCGTAGTTGTTTTCGTTTCAGAACCCATAATTATGCATTAATGCGGATTTCGGGCACGAAGCTGTGGAAGAGAAACACCAGTGGCTGTGGCAGAACGTCCCACATTGACAATTACAGTAAAAAATTTTCGTTTTCAGAATGTCGTTTTCTCGATTTCCGTATGTTTGAAATCAATATTGAATTTTAAAACCCATCAATAATGCGAAATACCGTTCAAAGCCCCAACCAATACCTTTTGAACCCATGTTATTTCATATTATTCTTGTGCAAAAATCCTTATAATATCTTGTTTAGCTACAAAAAAATGTACCCAGCACTGGCTTTATTATAAAAAGGAGTACTGATTTAAGATCCTATTGTGGTGGGGTCCAAATGACCGAAATACGAGTTCGGATCCAGTGAGTTTTAGAACATGCTGATATCAATCTAATTTGAAACTCTGAAATCATTCACCTGCTCATTCTGAAACATCTGAATGATTCCATTACCGCATTTGCTCTTATACATAGAATCCTACTCTATACCCCTTTAAGCTCGATTAT